AAAAAAGAAGTTTTTGAGGAAGAAGAAGAAGTAGTATTTTTTAGAAACTCAGAAGCTGATCAAATATCGGGTTAAATATCGGTGGGGTGGCCGATGTCCGATATTCAGTTTTAAGGCCGATACCGATAGGGGGACGATTATATCGTGCATCCCTAATTTGTATAATACATAAACTTAAAGAATAATTTGCGTCGTAGCTATAGAGATCAGTGGTCATAACTTGCAGCCAGCGCTGCGCAGTGCCAGGCTGCTGGAGTGTCTCCACGGATCCCAAAGGGGAAAAAAGGAAGATAGCTGATGAGAAAAGAGGATTCAAAGGATGGACCGAATCATTTTCTTTCATTATCAATGCAGAACGATTGCCTGCATTTTTGCTTGGTAATGAGAGGTTGGCAAAAAATACAAATAAAAATTTGGAAAGGCATTTCCAGGGAAGGCTAAATATGCAGCCAACCATCAAGCTGGGAGGGAGAGAAAAATGGTGATTGCAGAATAATTCTGGATAAATTAGAGGAGAGCAAATGTAGATTTAAGAAGTAGATTGCATCTCCAAACTCCACTACAGCTGCTAGTTTGGTTGCAAGGATGGAAAACCGTCCACAGATCGAACAGGTAGAGCTCTGATGAAGGGATGGGAACTTTCTTCCATTTTTTTCCCAAATCCTAAAAATATAAATCACACAAAGGAACGCTGGGATGGGGGATTCCAGGGTTAGAGAGCTCTGCTCTGATTGGTGTCAGTTCCTGCTTGGGTCCTCATGACTCAATCAACTCCTCCCAACAGAAACACGTCCATCATTGAGAGATTGCAGTGAAGGGCGGTGAAGCGGCGCGCGGTGAAGCGGCGCGCAGTGACGCAGCGCTCGATGGGAGCGTTCACTGCTCTTTCCTCACCTCATGCTGCTATGTGACATTTGCTCGAGGATAAAGATTTAATCATGAATGCTTATTATATATTTAAGCCCACAAATTCCTTTTCTATAGTGGGATAAAACACTTAGAGCCGGATTTATCAAGATCCAATTTTGCGTGCAGTAATTTGCGCTCGCAAACTGGAATTTTGCGC